GCCCGTTTCTGCTCTTGTTTGTTTCCTGTAAATTACTCATGCTTTTTGATTCACCAGCGCATCGTACGGAATGGAGCGGGTTGTTATAACTAGGAACGGGTGTACCCTCGGAGATAGTGCTCCTACCCCAGTTCCCTGAGGCCTGGCCGACACTTAGCCAGTCCCGGAATACACGGGCGGACTAGACTCGCTCGGGGCGGTGAAGATTCCGATCTCTGACACTCACTGCGTACTTCCTGATCAAGGCCCGAAGTGACTGGCTCCTGATCCACTACTGCAACTTACACCTCGGCAGGGCAAGCTCACATCAGCCGTGGCCTGCATCGTCGGAAACTATGATACAGGTTCCGGACACTCCCAGTGGGTTACAGCAGGGACCGATCGTCTTGTTAGGTCAGTTAGTGTGACCAACCCATTAAAGGGGAGTTTTGTCCACGGGAGCGTATTTTGTTTGGTTACTTTGCTTGGCTCCTACCCGCTGGACCTCATCAACTAAGAGATTATCCAAGTGTCATCCAAGAACAGCGAGCGTTCTCCCATCCGCTCGGGAAGACGCGCCCGGAAGCAGTATCTCTTCTGCCCCGTGTGTGTGTGTGTGTGTGTGTGTGTGTGTGTGTGTGTGTGTGTGTGTGTGTGTGTGTGTGTGTGTGTGTGTGTGTGTGTGTGTGTGTGTGTGTGTGTATGTGTGTGTGTGTATGTATGTATCTCGACGTTATTTTATCGACCGGGGTCTATTTAAAATGAATGTCACTAGCGCCAACGGATTTTTGTGATTCTAAGTTGATATTTCAAGGCCAAAATTTTATAGAAAATAATTGTGAGGATTGAAAATTAGTCTTTAGTGAACATAGTCTGAGTGTAGATGCCGAGTAACGCGGAGCTACAGTTTTAGTGTGAATTTAGAGAGTTAGAGTTACAGTTGAGCTTTTGCGATTTTTGAAATTAGAGTCAGTTTTAGAGTCAAATTTTTGGAAAATATTGAGGTCGAGTCATTTAAGGGTTTTATTGAGTTATTTTGAGTTGTGAATTTTGAGATTTTGAGTTTTGAGTTTTGAATTTTAAGTTTTGAGTTATTGAGTTTTGAGGCTGCAGAGTACGTGGGTAAATCGGTTACGCGACCGGAGATCCGAAGACAATTGATCCGCGACTATGGATCCGACGACATTAGATCTTTACGACACTAAATCCGAGTGACATTTGATCTGAAGACGTATGAACCTCACGACAATTAATCCAAAACACATAACCTAGTTTCCGTGTTGCG